CCAGCACCCCTTGCCTTGCCTTCAGGAAAGCATAGCACAGATGTATATGAAGTGAGTCTGACAACATTGCCCTGTTGCCTCAGTCTTTTTGGCTCATCCATGCTGTCTCTTGTTTACGTGCCCCATCTCCCCATCACTCCAGAGATTTATCGTGGACGTGTCCGTTGGCTTGCTTTGTCTGTGCTGTGATTTCGTTAATGTTCCTTTCTTTCCCCTGACAAATTCGATAAGTTGGTACTTTCTCTTGTCTCGTCCCTCATTCCATGTCGTCTGGTCCGGCTGAATCGGGCATGCCTTCCGGTGTCTATTGGTTGCGTCATTCTCGGATAACCCGTTCCATGTTTTGTTGTTTGATCTGGTGACAAATTAACAACTTTCCAAATACAATACCAAGAAAAAGAGAGACAGAGAGAGATACAGAGTTTCGGATAAGTGAAGTATGTCGATTGTAGTACGTTTTACGTACCAACTCTATGCCATTTCCTAGACGGCGATGTATCCGCATCTAACAACGGCATTCTCATTCTCCTCGCGCCTCACCCAGGCTTCTCCTGGCGCCAGGGTCAGGCCAGGGCGTTTTTCTAGTACCAACACCCCATACGGAGTGATGCTCCGTACAAGGCATCAATGGAACTGGAGAGGCCTGTCAGACGGATTGCTGTCGGAACCGATGCAGAGTACATCGTATTTGTCCATTGGATCAAGGCAAGGGGGTGATGCTGTTCCATATGGGTATGCAGTACATCGTACATGTACACATACAGCATATTCTTTGCAGTACTACGTCGTACAACGTGTTGCCACATACGGAGAACGGGGGCTGGGGAAACTGACAGCCATTTCCCCAGTGGCACCCTGTCCTGTTGAAGCATTCCCCAAGAGCCCCTGCTCCCGATCGCTAATAGCAGACAGGCGGATAATGGAACGGAGGGATTTGAGCAGGTGGGCAAAGAACGGAAGAATAAGGAATGGGTGGATGAGAAAGACATTAAAAGTAGCGAAGATCCTTATCCGAAGTAGCTAAAACTGATTGACATCCGAGCGCACCGTTACACTTGAGATGCAACGTGGGTATAGCGCACTAACACGCACATGGAAAGCAGCTCAGCAGGCTCGGCAGGTAAGCAAAAACACCAGAAGACAGGCCAAGGCAGTGAGCGGTCACTTCTCTTTAAAAAGCAACCTAACAACTTGTCCCCAAATTCGGGTTGCAAAGACAGAGTACCATTGGGCCATGCGGGATCCCCATAAGGACAACGGAACAACGGAACACCTGCTTTGACCTTTCTCTTCCGTCCTTTGACTACTGACAATCGGTGGGTGCGTACATATTCACAAGCGAAGAGGAAGGGCCTGCAATCAATTCTGCACAGCCGCGTGCAAGATGTCAGAGGTATCGTAAGAGGTGTTCTGTCACGTCGTACGTTGTATACCAGTAAAGGATAGTGACCAGAAAGGGTAGCTTTCTTTTTTTTCCAGTTTTTATCGGTTCTGAAAAGAAGGATATGTTTCAAGAGAATAATGAATTGGGCATGTTGTGCAATATGGAGCTAGAATGCGAAAAGTAAGCGAATGGAGCAGAGGCTGGAAGAGGGCAGAAAGAATGGATACAAAAACAAGGAAATATGAGTGGTGTGAGAGTGAGACCAGGGTGCAAGCATCTGCAGTTTGCCGCCATGAATATCATAGCTGAGCGATCAAAGCTGGGATCCAAACAAAGCTAAATAGTTGGCCGGGACAGACACCCGCTTTTCCACCAGCAGTTTGCTTTATTCCGTCTTTCTTTTTTTTTTTTTTTTTATTTGCTGCACCGTAAGAGGACCGAGCTCATGGACGTCTTTCTCTCTGTTTATCCGTTTATCTGGTGTAGAAAGCCCCAATTTTACATATCCCCGTGCGCACGACGGACATACTCGGACAGCTTCTTTGATGGGATGTTTCACGTTCTAGCCGCGCTTTGAATCATTCACTTCTGTCTTTAATAGTGGGCGTCCTATCGTTATTTATCGTTATTTTTCACGTTCAAACACACCAGGGACGGCAGCTTTTCATGCACAACAGGATTCCTTATAGCGAGTATTAAGACGCTCAGTCCAGGCCCTAGCACCGAGAAAATCCTCTGCAGGAGAGCCGAATCCTTCACGCGGAGGAGCTTGTGTGGGCGACGACCCGTTTTGCAGTTCTCAAGAAACTGGGGCGCGAGGAAAGGAGGGCAACCTTGGCTTGGTCTTCAGTTGCTCCGTTTCTGAGAAGCAAATGTAGAGCAAAACGACGAATTAAAGAGGTCCGCGCGACTGACCCGCGTCGAGGTAAACTGGTCTTTTGATTTTAGGTGTCTTTTGCATCGCCCAGTAACTATTCTGTACATCGTACGGAGAATTCCCCTTGCTTTCTCGGTCTCCCCTTTTTGCGTCGCATTGGCCGTGTCCACTTCAGCGCTCTCAGGCCCGGACCAAACGAGCTGCAACTTTGGTTCTGGCTCGCTCTCGCTCCCGTCGCAGTTTGGCGCTCTCTTCCGTGCCATGGAGAAAGGAGACGGGCCAACTTTTTGGGCCCAAATCGGCGGCGAGTGTTCTGTAATGACATTTCAAAAAATGAAATTGACAAAAGGGGACTGGACATCGCGCACGAGCAGCAATCCAATGCACTGGTGTGCTTAAGCGTTTCTTTCCCACATGGCACCCTGGTAGATGTTTTCTGTCTTCCTGTCGCTCTGCTTCTCTTTCTATTTTCCTCTTTCGTTAACCTTTTTACAAGCTTGCTTCATGTACGGAGTACTGTGTTTCTTTTGTAAAGGATCTTGACGTCTCTAGATGATTGGCTTTGTCTGAGCTCAGATGGACTACTTGTACTTTGTTTACTTTTGTCTTCCCAAAGTAATACGGCGCACAGCGTCCAACTTGCCCTTTTTTATAATTCCAATTATATCTTCCCGCTCACATTCTCGTCTCTGGCCTTGTTAGATCTGCTCTTTGTTCCTCTCGATGGGGACATATTGAGTATCCCTGCGCCGTATACGAAATACCATACTCCGTACATGTACTCTGTAGCATTATTCGCCCATCACCACACGTCAGGGACCAGACGCGGCCTAGGCTGAACGCCGACCACCGCCATCGACAATCCCTGTCCGCCCGCGATTCAAATCACCAATGCTTTTTGCGGGTTTTCTTGCGTTATGCAGGGGTTCACGTCTCTTTTTCTTTCTTTCTACTATTCGCGCATCTCTTCTCAAAAGCCTCATGGGGCTCGTGCCGAGACTTGGCTGCTGGTGTATCAGATATTGGGTTGATGCATTTATCTCTGCTCTTTTGATTTCTTCTGGCCATCCGTAGTCTCACAAGATTTATTTCTTTTGTTCTTCGTATAACATAATTCTATTCGACGCGTATCCTATCTAAGATACACCGTTTCTCTCCACGTCGACTGGTTCTCCACTCACCCCGGAGTCACCTTGCATCAGGGTCTTTCTGTCGTCTTTTTTCCATTTTGTTCTTTCTTGTATTTTCTTTTTCTTCATTTGACCGAACTTCTTCTCACCAGTGGTTTCTTTTTCCGTCCATATTTCCATTTCCCCTAACCACACCATCCTGCACCCGTCCTTTTGCAGCCACATCTAAACTGGTTTCACACCACGCGCTTTGCGCTCTTTCTCTCGTTCTCTTTATTTTTCGTCTGCCTCGTTCTTCCTCGCCTGCTCACTCTCGCTTTTGGGCCTCCCATATCGTTCTAGCTTCGACTTTGTGAGTTCTTTCGGTCCCGATTTCAGTCTTTTAATTTACCTTGTGTGGCCTCTTTCACGCATTCTTATTCTCTTCAACGGCCCCTGCATATTCCATCGTCCGTCAGTTTATGGCCGTATTTATATTCTCACGCAAACCCAATTCACCTTAAAGTCAAAGTCAAAATCAAATCGAAATCCCTCCACAGCTTTTTGCCTCACTCATTAGTCTTGTCAACCCCTGCTCTGCCTTACCTACGGATTCTTCTCCTAGGGACGGAGTAAAGTACGTCGTATCGTCTTCAGTACTCCGTACCGTCTCCCTGCAAACTACCCTGCGGCTGACAGCATTCAAACTCTCACAATAATCTTGTCACACCCAACCTTCACACCACTTTCCTTGCAAGACCACGCTTGCCCCTTGCAGTACGTAGTATCACCGTCCCTGACAGCCTTTGCGTTGGTCTACCGTTGTACGTCGTATTTTCCCCAATCCACCTTCTTTCCTGAGTATTTGCCTCTTTTTCTGTCTTGTCCCATTTCTTCTTTCTATTTTGTTTCTTTTTGGTTTTCCTCTCGTCTCTTTCCCTTTCAACCATCCTTCCTTATCTTGCCTTTCGTTACTCGTCCTAACACGGAGGTATTTAGCCATTCTGCGAAACACCTGTTTGATGCGCATCCAGGCCCTGTAGACTTGATCTTCCAACAGCATCCAGAGACCAGACGAAAAGGGTCCATCGATCAATGTCACCGTTTTTTCTACATTTTATTCTTCACTCGTGGGTGTTGTATTATTGGGTATTTATCTATTCTTTATGTTGCTTTTCACACGCATCCGTCTCGGCATCTCTTCGTTGATTCTTCCCTCGTTCATGCTGGCCCCCTGAACGTGATAAGATCACATCACATCATATCCTCGTCTTCCTTTGCTTTGGACATACTCCGCTCCTGCCCCGTTGTGACGTTGACCAATCCACAGTTCGTCTTTTGGATGAACTCCCCATTACCTTTTTTATTGTTCTGACTTTGTCTCCCATTGTATTACTCCATATTTTCTTCTTTCGCTTCTGGATGTCCTTTTTTTCTATTTTTCTATTTTTTTCGTTTTCCTACGTTCATCTTCTTTACACACTCTGTGTTCTGATCCATATCTGACCTCCTATCAGACTCAAGTCGCCCTTCGTTCTGTCTTTTACGTCGCATCTCCACCATCGTCGCTAGACTTAACATCCACGCCAGCTAAAGAGCCTCAGAGCTCTTCTTCCAGCAGCCGGACATCATGTCCAAGGACGGGCCTCGCTACAGCGGTAGCCTCGTGGCCCTCGAGGGTCTGTCTGAGACTGCCCTCGAAACCCAATTGCGCCTGTTGCCCGCATCGTCGCAAATCCTCGTCTTGCCAAGCATTCGCAACTATCTCGGCACGGACGATGCGCTCGTGACCCCGTTTGCACCTTCCTCGTCCGGCCCGTCCTCTACCTCAGTATCCGCTCTTCCCAAATCGGCATTGTCCACCTCCGTCGCTCCTTCCACATCCAGACTGTCCAAATCGCCATCAACAACATCGACCCATTTTGATCTTCGCCGCTACATCAAAAGCATCCACAATGCCGCCGCTGCACGGCAAGCCATCGCCCTAGAGTTTCTCCAGGACAATGAAACGCACACCACCCCCTCAACGACGTCCAAGACACCGCCAAAGAAACTTGTTTTTCTCAATGGCGGTACGGTCACAAGCCACGCGCTGTGCATCGAGGCCATTCGACAGCACGACGCGGCCGCCGGCGGCAACCTGGAACAGGCCGCGCTTCTATTTGATCAGCTTACGGCTCATGGCGTCGCGGGGCTGGATGAGACGTCGGCAACCCCGATGGCAGCCGAGACAAACCGGCTCGACAATGTTGCCATTGGCGACGACGATGAGTATGTGGAACGTGATGACGACGACGAGGAGGGTGATCCTGCCACAAAGGCTATGCGCGCCGCCGATGCTCTGGACCGCAGGACGGAGGGTCTGCAGCCCAGCACACACATCCTCGACTTGACTGTCACCAAGAAGCCACGGCCACGCAGTTTGAGTCTGCCCATCCACGGTGATTTGCTGGAGCTATGGGATGCCGGACGCCGCCCGAGTCTTGCTCCAACCGCAAACACAAATAACACAAATACCACAAACACGACCGACAACGACAATGTCGACAATGACGACACAAGCACCATCAACAACCGCAGCTTCTACTGGGTCCCGCCTAGTATGGCGGCTGGTGCCGCGGGCAGCGAGATATACGACGCCAACAATTTTAGCTTCATCACGTCGGCATCCCCCACCCGCGGCAGTTCGCCCACCTCCACCATCTTCCCCGTCTCGATGCGGCTCGACGCCATTGCCTCGCAACAACAAAAGAGGCAACCGAGGAAATCCCCGTCACCTTCGCCGGCCCGCCAGTATGTCTCGTATCGCCCGGCTACCAAGGGTGATACAGCGCGTACCGTTGTGCTTGACCCTGCACCACGTGGAAGGACGGCTCGCCGGCGAGCCTCGCAGGTGGCTGCTCTTCGTAACAATGGCGACAACGAGGACAATAATGACGACGATATGCCCTTCTACACATACCACCACCAGCTGCCCCGGCGACGCGCTCGGTCACTCGAACGAAAGCCGTCCATTGGTGCCGGTAGCTTTAGTGGCATCAGCAGCATCAGTGGCATCAGTGGCTTCAGCCGGTTTAGCGGACTCAGCGGCAGCAGCAACGGCAATGGCAATGGCCTCGGCATGAACATGAACTTCTTCCTGAGCACCAGTAGCCGCGAGCCGTCATCGACGCGGCCCCGGCGCACGTCCAACGTCAGTGATGACACCACGTCTATGGCCACATCGGCCATTGGCACCAAACCGTCCATCTCGTCGTCTTCCTCATCCAAGTTCATGCCAACAGGGACGGGCATCCCCGACGTGCCGCTGTTGCCAGGAGCCGATGTACTAGAAAAGATGGCTATACGCAGGAAGACGAAGACAAAATCAAAACAAGCCCAAACAGCAGCAACCTCGGATGCGCAGAAGAAGCCGCAGCTTCGCCTAAAGACGACCGCCTCCGTCACTAACGTATCCTCACCACTGACGTCTCGTTACGTTGACCGTGGCACGGATGCCAGCCAGGCGGGTGCCAACGGTGCCAGTAAACAAATTGTCTTTGAGCTAGTGCTTCCCCTGGTCGAAGACTTAGTCGTTCAATTTGACGACGACGGGAGTAACGCGAGCAACTCGGCACTGGAACTGGCGATCCAACGCTGTCGCGAGCTTGACGGGGCGCAGATTATCCACCAACGAGACTCGTCTGTCCACGATACAGTGATCTCAAAGCACATATTATCCAACGGCGAACACCATTCATTTGACCAAAAGACTATGTCGTCGACCTTGCCCGAAACACCAAAGTCTTCGTCACACGGTCAATCTTCATCCTCCTCGCCCACTGCATCTGCCTCCCTTCTTCTAGGCACAGCCACGACCATACCTGCAACCCAGGCCACAGGTACCTTCAGCACAGACGATTATGATCCGTTTGCGCCACATGAGTACAATGCTGGCCGCAAGGTGCAGTTGCCCATCGCAGTGCCTATCGCTATGCAGCCACAGGCTGCGCCATCCATCAAGACGCCGCAGCCCCTAACTCCCGCTCACACACCGCCGCCACACCAGAGGCTAGACGGGGACATTGACCCGGACCCCCAAGTCGGTTCTCGTTTCCATGTTCTTGATACGGCAAAATACCAAACAGCCCTGGCCCTGCACAATGCACTACGTTCTATACTAGGTTTCCACTTTCCGGAAGACCATGAGAGCGAAGAGACAAATGCCAACCTCGACTCGCTGACCTCAGAGAGCCTTACCAGCTTTCTCTTTTCCGTTGTGCCAGGAATGGAGGGTAGCAGCATGTGGGCGCCATTGCTGTCTGGAAACCGGACCGAACAGAAAGTGGATGCCAATATGGAAGCAGAGACACCCGTTACGGATATGGTGCTCGCCTTCGGCAGCCAGCGTGATGTGCCATCTTCACTCCGGGCAAAGATTATGGGCCAGTTGGATGCCCTCACTAGCCAACCAGCCACCGGCATTAGCCGTGGTGGTCGTCTTGATATCCGCTATCTGATTACCAACGCGCTGCAGTCGCTGGCTGCACAGCAAGCCCGCCGCCATGGTAAGAGCACGGGAACGGTTGTGCTGGCGCCACTTATCATTGCCCAGCTTGACCAATACCTGCGCACCTATCCCTCCTCGTCGTTGCCCGCATCGCCCTCCGTACGTCTTGTCCTGCTCGAATATCCAATGGAGCTTCTTCCTCTCGTGTTGGCCATGCAGCAACTGGCAGGCCGGGACCTGATCCAGGTCGCAAGCGTCATCACAATCGAAGATTCAAAATACCGTACTGAATTTCGCCGACCCTTCCAAGTACTACAAGAGCCACTTCTTTCTCCAAGGCTCAGATTTTCCCCGCCTGTGAATCTAGGTGTGACTCAAAAGCAGCCGTCGTTCAAGCGGGCCAACTTTGTGTTGACATCAGCTGCCAATGAAACGGATATCGACGCATTTGTAGCCTCAATCCGAAAACTTTTACTGTTGAGCAAAGCTTCGACGGTGACAAGGATGGCAACATCACCAGCAGAGGTCATGTTCCAGAATGGCATGATCCCACTCACGTTAGTAGCCCAACAACAGGGAGATGCCGGCCGCTACTCAGCTCTATCAACGGCCACCACGGCCGCTGGGGGTACCGGAATGGGCATTGGTAGCAGCGGCAGCAGCAGGAACAGCAAGATCCGCACACCACCGCGTACAGACAACTTGATGCAATCCCCCACGTTGCCAAGTCCACTCGTTGGAAACACTCCTAGTCCGAGGCGGAAAGGGTCTTCTTCGGAGAAGGACAGAAAGCGAGCACCAGCAGATAGCAACAGTGGCATAGAGGCCCGGCAGCCCCCTCTTCCTCTCCCCATCAACACCAAAAAGGTCGTGTCATCCAAGATGTCTACCGCTTCCATTTCGGCTGTCCGGCCCCCAAAATCGCCCACTCTATCAATGGTATCGCAGCACTCACTGCAGTCGCAGCCATCGTCGCTACAGTCGTTCCAGTCTCAATCCGACTCCTGGCGCGCGACGACCAACGAGCATAGTTATATTGCACAATCCACGGGTTTGGCACCAGCACCCACGGTCCTGCCCAACAGCCGCCTCGTTGCTAAGACCATACAGGTCAGTGGGTCGACAACGATGCGGCGGGCCAAGGAGCAGACAGCTACGGTTGCTGCCAACCCTAGCGGTATCTCCGCGCCTGTTATCGTCAACAACCTGAAGACCACTTCGACACTGCCGACGTCCTCTGCACGGAGCGACAATGACAACCTTAGCAACTGGGATGCCGGCTTGGACGTGTCAGAGGACGGCAACTATACTTACAATGAGCCGCCGTTTGCCACCAGCAATGGCAATGCCAAAGGCAGCTCAAAGGTTATTGCCACGAACGGTAATACTGCTGTCAACAGTGCTAGTGGCGCCAGCACGAGTGTTGCCTATGGTGGCTACAACGACGACGAATACGACTCTGGTGATGACGACGATGATTTTGAAAACGACCCTGATATGCGCCGTCTCATGCCGCTATTTATGCGTGACCGCGCTGCTCTGCTAGCCGCCAAAGAGGCAGCTGGCAGTCGCGGTGTACGGCCGCAGCCCATGCGCAGCAAATCGAGCCAGTTAACGGGCATCAGTACACCGACTGTTTCGGCTTCTGCAACCATGCCACCGACACAGGGTCCACCGCAAGTCATGAGTATGACTGGCGATGGCCTCCGCGGCAAGTCCAGCGTCGGCAGCATCCACAGCCAGCACAGCCATGCTAGCAGCCTTGCCAACAAAAACAGCAACGAGGGTAAGAAGGCCCTTAAATGGCTAGGCTTGGCCTAAATATGCTCCAGAATGTTCCCCCATTTCTCTTTATTTTTTTTCTCGTTACCGTTTAGTTTGCTTCTCGCCTTGCATTTGGAAGGCATTGCTTGTAATAGTACGATATGTGATTGGATATTATCGGCTTGGGGCGTTTTGTACGGATTTAATCTATTGTGTCATTTTATACCGGTTGGAAGGTTGGAAGGTTGTGAAAATATGGTAGCACATCTCATGATGGATTTGACTTGGGCATTTTTAGCTGGGATTTTGAGGGTTTGCTAGGACAGCATCTGTGTTATATCCATTTCAAATTATAACCAAATTTATGCGTCGTTTTCATAATTCTCAAGTAAACCACAATATGTAAAACTGTTCTTTTACGGCGTTTGCTTACATTTCAACTTGGCTATGAAAGCTAAGAGGAAAGGAAACCATCACGGCAACAGAAACAGCAAGGGAAATGAAAAACGTTACATTACGAGGCTCCCCATAGAAAAGCGGAACCGAACGAATCAAGGTCAGTGTTTAAAGAATAAAGAGCAAAGCGTGAAAAATTCCCTGTGAAAAATGTAAAGAAATAAGAAACAAAAAACACACACAAAAGGCCAGAGAAAAACGGAAACGAAAAAAAAAAAAAAAAAAATAATCAAATAGCCCATTACAAGTTTCCCTGGTCCCTTCCGCAAACCCTGTGTCCCTCTCTATTCAACAAATCAACATGATCCTACACACCCCCAACCGACGTTTGAAGGGTTCTCCCCGTCCCAGCGACACGATTGCACTCCAGTCTTCTCGCATCCGTAGAAACCGCATGGGAAAGAAAAGAAGAAAACAGCAAAATCCAGAAAACCGACTCTAACATCGCGCCTGGAAAGTGGGAGACAATGCAGGACTTCAATTCGGCGGCCGGGGCGCATGCATGTCGAAAGGGATATTTGGGACGAGTAACGAGCAACGAGCGGTCTAGAGTTTCAAGACGTGGTGGAGAGGCCGACCAAACGGAAGCGAGAAACGAGGCCGGTCAAATTATGTTTGTCGAGGGAGGGAGGTGGCAAAACGGCAAAGCAGAATGAGATGGACAATTGCTGCTTTAACAGCAGCCGCCGCTCTGGTTGTTGGAGACGCCGTGGCCAGCACCGACTTGCACGCTAGGCTTGGTGTTGTTTGTGGCGGTGCTACCCATCCGCTCCTTAATCTGGCGGGCCATTGTCAAGAAGGCCTGCTCAACGTTGCTGGCGTTCTTGGCGGAGGTCTCGAGGAAGGGAATGCCCAGGCTGTCCGCGAACTCCTTGGCGACCTGGTAGTCGACGACCTTCTTCTCGGACATATCGCTCTTGTTGCCGACCAGCAGCTTGTTGACGCCCTCGGTGGCGTACCGGTCGATCTCCTGCAGCCACTGCTTGACGTTGTTGAACGAGTCCATGTCGGTGACATCGTAGACGACGCAGATACCGTGGGCGCCGCGGTAGTACGAGGAGGTGATTGTGCGGAAGCGCTCCTGGCCAGCCGTGTCCCACTGCGAGGCGAAGTTAGCATTCCACGGTTTGGTTTGGTTTGGTTCGGTTTGGTTCGGTTCTGTCTGCCACGGCCATCTGCTTGTGTTTGTGTATGGTGGCGGAGGTGTCATTACTTACAATCTGCAGCTTCACGGTCTTGCCATCGAGCTCGATCGTCCGGATTTTCTGACAAGGAAACACGCGTTAGAATACCAGCACCGGAGCCTGGACATTGCATAGCAACAAAAGTCGCCGAGCGGCACAAGAGGGACATACGAAGTCGACACCGATGGTTGAGATGTAGGACTCGGTGTAGGTGTCGTCGGCGAAACGAAGCAGCAGACAAGACTTGCCGACACCGGAGTCACCGATGAGCAGCAACTTGAAGAGGTAGTCGTATCTAGAGAGGTTAGAAACACGGAGCCGAAAAGGACAAGATGCGAGGTAAAGGCGCCGACAAGAGAGACGCCGCAGAAATTGCGGATGCCGTCGAAGAGGGTTGGGCGCGATGTGCCAATGTCCATAGCATAGTGCCCCCCTTCGAAGATTGCTCGATGGTGCTGCAGAGCGCAGCTTGGAGGAGTCGTCACAGCTTGGCAGCCACAGGCGGATTACCAGGAAAGGGGGCAGGAAAGCCGAAGGACAAGAAAGACGAAGAGAAACTCTAGATAGCAGCAGGTCAGCAAGATGTTGGCGGCCATCGGTTGGTGAGGGAAGCGAGCGGTGGTAGCGAAAGGGGTAGAATCGATTGCCTCTTTACGTACTACTCCGGATTCATTGTGGCGCGCGGCGGTGAGACGAAGACGATATTGTGATGGAGAGCACGGGTTTGAAAGTGGTTGACAAAAGTTATCAACGGAAGACTGCGGTGATGGGTATGCGAAGAGGCAGCACAAATTCGGTGTCGTTGGCGATGATGATGGAGAGGAAGAGTTGCGTTTGGCAAGTTGGGAAAAGAGGGCGTGAGGTTAAAGAGAATGGGGAAAGGAGGACCAAACAGGCAGGAAGGACAGCGTGAGAGATTACGGCCAGTGAGCGTTGGGGAGGGACCAGTGAGTGGACCAAATACAGGGGGGAGTGAGCACAGGAACGACAAGCGCATGGCGGAAACACAGCCACTAAAGCCCGCTGGGCAATTTGTGGCCAGGGCCTAGGAGCAGGCAGCCCCTCGCTGCACGTGCATCTTCACATGATACAAGCTGCCACCAAAATGGCACCCGCCACGCTGGCCGCCGGGTGACTTCACACACCACCCTGAAACAGATGGTAGCCGAAAAATGGGGATCACGTGCATTCATCACAGTGCTTCTTTTCCTCGACTTGAGTTCAATTCACACCATCTAGGGGCTGCAAGGGAGAGGCATTCTTTGACCGTGTCCGGTGCACACATGACACTGACTGGCGAATGTTTTGCCCTTTGACGGGCTGGGTTTTGTCAGGGGATGATAAAGGTTGCCCAAACAGATCAGATGAAAGACGAAAGAATGGGCCATCTTTCGTCCCCTATTAATAGCTTATTATGCTGTTCCAGCGACTAGCAGCCATGTATGTCGTACTCTATCGGTTACAGTCGCCTTATCGGGTACGTAGTTACAGGGTAGAATCACACTTTTAGTGGGGTGACTGCCCTGTGATTCTCAGCGGGCAAAGTCGGCCAGGCCCAGCAAAAATTTCCTGACATCATACTTTGTCAACGTCAAAACCGAGCGAATTGAGGAAATAATAACAGACGAGGGAAAAAAAATAGAAAAAAAAGGGACACGAGCTTCGTCCCGGGCCCAATGCACAGTTGTCCATTTGACGCCTCTCCGCCTCTTCCCCTCTCTCTGGCCTCGTCGCTTTGTGCCTCCACTTTCAACTCCAGCTAGCCAGCTCTCGAGAGGGAAGGAGGGCCTGGCGTCGGTCGTGCGCTTTCCCGTTCGACCTTCCTCCACTATCACGTCTGCATCACCTTATCACCAACCGAGACCACCTCGACACCTCCGTCAAGTGACACAATGACGACGACCTTAAGCTCGGTTTGTGCAGCATCCCGGCCCTCAGCGGCCACGCTGCGTCACTTGTCAAGGACTGCGGCCGCAACAGCCACTTCACAGCCGCCACGACGCACCTTGCTGCTGGCCAACAGACCACCCTCTCCTTCTCCGTCCGCAGCTTCGACCGCAACAGCCACTTCCCCGTCCTCGTCACAACCGCTCACAACCCTTCCCGAGGCTCACTCTCGCAATATGCCTGAGGTCTGGTTCAGTGCGACGTTTCCATCACGATCAGACGGCATCAGCAGTCTTGGAACACAGCCGGGCGGCAAACCACCTGACGAGCGGACCGTCAAGCTTGGCAAGAGTATGTCCCCCTCTTCTGTTGCCTCCATTTTTTAGTCCTTTTGTGGCTGCTTTACGTCCTCCGTTTACTGACAACAAACAGCTCTACGCATACTCCAAGAACGACTACCGACCCTTCTCCAGTCACCGCTTCCGTCGGAGATTCTCGCGCCCACAATCTCGCTGCACCTCTTCCCCTCGACTCACCCGCATCTACCCGTCGTCTCCGGCCGCGTCGCGTACATTGCCGCCCTCTGGACATCGCCGCTCGCGTGGAACCGTGTGCCTCTGGTGGGCAACGTCAAGCTCGAAATCTTGTCGGAGCGCATGACCAAGCAGCCATTGCAGCTTCACTCGGCCGCTGCGCGTCGCGCCGGTGCCAGTGACGAACAACTCGTCGTGCGGTGGCGGACCATTGGCAAGGGCGGCGACATGTCGCTGCCGCCGCAGCCGAACGGCGGGTCGCCTGGGGCCACCGCCAACAAGGCACCCGTGGGCACAAGCCAGGCCGTGGGGGACCCAAAAGAGTTTACGGGCCTGTTCATCTTTGAGTTTGACGGCGTGGGCCGCATTTTGAGCCACACAATCGAACACGTTGCCGAGGGCGGCGACTGGGAGCGCAGCGTCGGCGCGCGGTTTGTCGGCCTGACGGACTGGCTGCTAGGCGGGATCAAGGGCGGCGGCAGCGGAGAGAACACGCCGCTGCCGGCCTTTGAGATGCAGGACCCGCGGAAGATACGGTAAGTGCCAGCGCCCCTTGGCCGCCTTGGTGATCTCTTCTCGTCGAACACTGTTCAAAAAAAACCCAGGCGAGGAGTCTGTTAAGAAAAGTATGATGTGTGGTACGTTGTGCTTTTTGTATGTATGATATGGGTGCGTTATACCTGGTGTTTTGGTCAGTGCGGTCTCCCCTTTATAATGCGGCTGTGCGGCATCGTGTGCTGTGGCCACTCCTTGCATTTTTGTTTTATCTTTGTGTTATTCGCCATTTACACACGTTCAAAAGGAATTGGTTGGAACGGAAAGATATGCGGCAAGACTCTTCACTCAATACCCTCGGCGTTGGTTTTTATTTCTCGTTATTTCATAATCATTGTATTTAGAGCAACAAAGTTTTATGCATGATTTTAATCACCAATCTAGCAGGTGACAAAGGGACACGGCCCAAATCAAAACCTCCATCGCTCTTGTTGCTCAGATGTCTTCCTTTTCGGATTCAGAAGCACCTGCATCTTCAACTGAAGGTGCCTGGACTGCACGAGAAGGTCCACCGGGTAAAGCTATGACCCGGTCACTGCTCCGAGGAGGCACTGGCGATTGTATCGGTAGAGACGGCTGGGTCTCGATCGGAATACGAACCGGATGGTGTCCATCTGCGATCGGCCTCAGTTGCGAGAGCCTCTGTCTAGGGACCCCGACACTGTTGGCGCTCGGGACCAGCCCCGGTGGAGACGAAGAACGCGACGCCACCGACAGGGATGGACTTAAGCCGAACGAGTCGGCGGTGCCTCTAAATGTGAAGCCATTTAGGAACCCACGTCTCATTTGCGCAATGTCGGTAAGGAGCCTGCGTTGTCTCTCCATCTCCGTTTCGCCGTCCATCAGACCGAAATACGCCTCGTCGAGCTCATCGTCCTCGCTGGAAAAACCCTCAGCATCAGACAAGTCCGAGTCCGAGTTCGATGTCGGCGCAGAAGAGCCGCGAAGATCAAGGTCGGCCATGACGTTGTTGTGCATTTCGCGCATCCTGGCGCCTATTTCGGCAAGTTGTTCTACAATGTTTCTCGTCAGAGGAACACCGTCCAGGCTGGCACTGCTTGCCCGTCGTTTGCGGGGCCGGTTGTTATCTTTGGCCGCCATATCACAAACAATATCAGAAGAGATCCAGAAGAGATCCAGAAGAGATCAAGCTTGTCACGCAGGCACCGTCGGTTTAATTTCCACTTCGGTACTGATCGGTGCACGGATGTTGTAGCTGGAGCTGTTTTTCTTTTTTCTGGCTTTATTTAAAGCAGGTCCTTGGCTTCTCTCTTCGTTTTCTGCGTCTTCTTCCTGTTTTGTCCCGCTAAAAGATAAAAGTGATGTCGATAATAAATTGTGGACAGTCGTAGGTCGTCTGCGTGGCAAAATGGCGGCTTGCGTGTTAGTGCACGGGTAGTCCCTAAGCTAGCAGGCTTCAGCCGATGCAATTAGCCTTGAGTGTAGACGGGAAGTGTGGCGCCGAATCAAAAGTCTATTTACACCTCGAGATACAGTCGTGCGGGCGACGATGATGGGCACAAGATGGTACTCGAATTGAAAATTTGGCGTGACTTAGTTGCTGGTGGAGGAGGACAGAGAACAGTACTGGGCGCCTTCGATTTCACGATATTTCCTGGTATTTAAGGGGACGGTCAATTATATAAATAGGCGTATGACCGGAAGTCAAAATAGAGGGTGAGGAAATTGGACGAGGAGAGGGGTGGAAAGGGCAAGAAAGACGAGATAAGAGGAAATAAAAAGACTTCTGAAAAGTTACGAGGAACATACGAAAAAAAGAGATAGCTCTATGTTTTCTTTTTCCACCTCGATTCACCGACGTCAGGCCACCTCCCCTCTCTCCTTGAGACTCACTCCCTCCGTTTGACACCTCATTCGCGCGCATTATTGGCCACCTAGTACATCGTATGCAAGGATTGAACAGTGTGTCGTTTGGTCATCAATAAATGCATGTCTCACACACGGTGTTTGCTGGCGCACTTGTCGTGAGCTGATATCTTCCTGTACTTCGTGTACAGTCACGATATCAGTCCAGAAATATTGCATCTTCGGCTAACTTTCCATATATTGAGGGCACAGCGGCTACATACACAGTAGGGCTTCGAACTTGAATTACTCAAAGTAGCTAAAACAAAAAAAGCACAAAAATCATGAGGAGTGGAAAACGAGGCGAAAATGAAAAAAAGAATACATTGAACAAGAGTAAGGACGCCAACAGACACAACCCATATGCATGCAAGGAGCAACACCGGCGCCCTTACCACCTTGGGCAATGTAGCCAATAGTCAGCGACCATAGACTTTGCCAATTAGCTGAATCTCAGGGTCCTTTTCAGCTCCTCGACGTGTCACACTGGTTGAGTCGTTACTAGCAAATTGCTTTGCCATCCAGATGCGTCATAGCTCAACAAAAGCTTGTATTGTCTTTTCACGAGGTGCTGCGCGTGTAATCATCGCGGGTGGTAACGAATGACCGCCCTCGTGTCGTCGGCTTTGCATGTTATTCCGAGAACCGTGGCTTTCTTCATCTTGTTGCAAACCTGTCCGGCCACGGAGCTTTGCTAACAAGTAGACACCTCGAACTATGCGTCCACCATCGTTTTTGGAGCGTTCACTTCCATTTTTGGCTGGCATCGGACTCGGACTCGGGCTTGATACCACTGACTTTGCCTTGACCGCTTTGCCTCTCTTTGCAGCATCCTTGGCAATTTGGACGTTTCCAAGGAACAGAGCCGTAATCACGCACTATTCGATCTGTTAGTGCTACAATTCCGTGGGTTGTTGTTTTGGCTGCACAAATTACCATACCGTAATCATAAAGGGCGTAATCGCAACATAGGCCCAAACAATTCCCATCTGATAGAGTTAGCGTACTCTTAAATAGCTCACTTGAGGAGCAATTTATCATCGTGGACAATGTCCTACCTTTGCTCTGTTCACAACATCAGCCAGGGCATCTGGAGGCAGTTCGTTGAGCGTCTTTACAGTTCTCAGTGGTGATGAGCTCGCGATACCAGAGGTATTGTTGAAGACAGCCGCCATGACTGTTATTGCCAACGTTCCTCCGAGCGGCAGTGCGACGGCCATGAGCGAGACGACGGTGGCGACATGCTGTGGAAAGAGCCCAACGGCATGGAGCGAGGCGGGCATCAGCCGCAGACCTGTGCCCACCCCTGTCAGGGCCATCATACCGAAAATGGCCGGAAGATGGCCGTTCCATAGCGCCCATGCTAAGATTCCGACACCAACGGCCTCGACGATGGATCCCAGCATGAGCGGCACAAAGGTGCTACGGGGCCAGCCGTTGAGAAAGTACATGGATAGGTAAACGCCGATGCCAAGTCCGGGGGTGTAGAAGAGAAGTTGTGTGCCTGCATATGTTGGTCCGTACAGCTAAAACAATTAGCAAACGTTGTACCGTATGGAATCGTGTCCGGAGTCAGAGGTGAGAGGGGGGAGGTATGGGGCACGAAGTAGCAATACCTTCACCATGGTAAAGTAAAGATTGCAGAAATAGAGGACCTAGACTCGGATTAGTTTTCAATACCCTCTGCTATACCTTCCTCCATGTCCACTTACCGAGTACATTGCTGCCCCTGTCGCGAAGTTGATATAAAATAACAGGCCGATATCCTTGCTGCCGAACAATGTCCATGTTAGCATCGGCTTTTGATGAGGCCACATCCGGGAAAACAAGCGGCCTGGTGCCATGAAGCGTTCATAACCGACAAATGCGGCAACAAGCACCAAGCCGGCAAAGAGCGGCACCAGCACGGCCGCGGTGGCCCATCCATATGTCGCGCCCGCCCAGGTCAAAGACAAGATGAGCAGTCCGAGACCAAACAGAAAGAGAAGTTGCCCGCCGATGTCGATGGAAGCGATGCGGGATATAATCGGCGTGGATAGACGCGTTGGGAGCGAGCTCATACAAGGCCGAACGGGGCCAGAACGAACCGAAGGCGGCTCGAAATGGTCCGAGGAGTCGGGCCTCGATCGTCCTGCCGTAGCCTCCGGTAAGGGCGAGTTTGAAGAATGTTCTTGCGTCTGTGGTCCCAGCAGCTCAGGCCGCAGGATAATGTAAATAAGAGCCAGTGCAGCTACGCAAATTGGCAGGTTTACTGCGAAGCACCATCGCCAGTTAACATTAGTCAGTGCACCGCCGACGACCGGGCCCACGCCATAACTCATGCCCGCCGTGAAGGAGAAGATGGACCAATTTTTCGCGTTCTCTCGCAGTGAGACGCGGTCGAGTAGAATGACGCGGACAACAACGTTGAGCCCCGCGCAGCCGAGACCTTGGATGGCACGACCGAGAAGCAGGACAGCAAAAGTCGACTTGGGCGCTGCAGTGCACAAGGCACTGCCGACCATCATGATGACAAGGGCGGCTTGGATGGCAGTGTGGCGTCCAAAGATGTCGGCGGCCTGGCCCCAGAACGGGATAAAGGCCGCGGATGTGAGGTTGAACGCAGAGATAATCCAATTCAGCTGGGAGACTTCGCCTAAATATGGGGCAGGAATAAAACGAAGCGAGTCAGTTGATTGAGTCAAAAGATCTGATGGCTGAACAGAAGCAGAAGTAGTCCGACAGTCTGGGCTCACCAAAATCAGTCGCTATCCAAGGAAGGGCGGTTGCAATGCTGTGATCGTTAGACGTGAAGTGAGCTCGACAAAAGTGCGCAGAGAAAGTGGGACAAAGTAGGGCCTACATTGTGACGTCGAGGGCTTGGAGTGCGAAGGGAAGGATCAACCCAGTTATCACCTTCCTTCGGTACCGTCGTGCAGTGAGTCGCTCCTTCCGGCACGGGATGCACCTTCCCAGCACATCCACGCGCCCGGTTGCTGCTACTGGCGCTCCTGCGCCTGTCGCTCCTTCCGATTCTGTTGCCAATACAGTGGCAGTTGCTGAAGACGATGACGAGGCAGTGAAAGTTGCCGGAGCTCTCAATGGCATAGGACCAGCATCGGGCGCGTCGGATGGTGATGGTGATGATGATGGAGCTCCAGGAGGCGGCGTCGGATGTGAGGCAGCGACAGCAACGGCGGCCTTATTGTTATTTCGGGTCGATATGCGACCGAATTCAAGACACGTGTCGTGCCCCGAATCTCTCTCGAAAATTGTGTTGTTTGCCTTGGCTCGTTGCTCTATAGTGTTATGGATCTCGCACGGCGGCGGGTGATGAGAGGCTGGAGCGGATGACGAGAATGCACGAGTGGGTTTCCATTTGCTTCGAACAAAAATGACCATGATTGTGATTATTGTTTTTATTGTTTTTCGGAGCTTTCTTCCGTTCTGTCAAGAATGCAGTCACGTTCAAACAATGTCACCGCGTCGTAGTGCATACCTTTGCATCGTGATATTCGATTCGCTGTGAGAGCGTTATGGGTGCAGAATGGTCAACATCACGAGACAAGTCGAATAGAAACGTTTTTATTTGAAATTTGGATATGTAGAGAAAATGAATCCCAAAAGTAGGCCATCTCAGTACAATAAAAATCAGTTACAAAGAGAAAGCCAGACGAGGGCTACGTCGGACAGAGTTACGAGACATTGTGACCCTTCTCTCGACAGACAAGGGCGACAGAAAGGAATGGAAGGCATAAAATGTTCAAGGGAAACCACTCTACTTATTAGAGAGACTTGACAAAGCAATCCAAAGACACAATACAGGACAGTATACGAAGAGAATAGGAAAGGAGGAGGATAAGGGTCCTGTTTTTGAGACATTGCACAGAGACACAAGGAGGACAATAAAGCAAGCGGGACCATGGAAGTCCGGTGTACAAACTGGACAAGACAAGTTCGAGAAAGATTAATAGGCAGACTGTCACTTTTACGTGAATACTGTAAACATAAAACTGTACAGATGCAACCCGAAAGAGGGGGAAGAGACTCTCTGCGCAACATGAGTAAGTCTATGCGAGTCAAGGTTTAAGCCACAAGGTCCAGCCCATTTCCCAGATAACAGTAAACGGATGAAAACAAGGTAGCTTCGGAGAATTTCCCCTTTTTTTCCTCTTCATTATAACTGTATTACAGAAGAGACATAACTGACAGTGTCGAGACAACGGCAAAGCTAGGAGCTAAATAAGGCGCGAGGAAGCTTCTAATGTTGTGAAGGCACTGTATATAATCCCGAGGGCTTCGGACAGCGGCTCGGGCTATCCATGTAAAGAATCAGGCCACTGTGCAAATATCAAATTATGATACAGTTGCGTTTGAAGGTTTAACACTACATTGTCTATCATTTTATTCACGTATGGTGTACACCAAAGTACGACCCGGAGGCGTGATCGTCACAGAGAGTGTTGAGGGGACAGGAGCCGACAGCAATGAGAACTCGGCAAACATCATCACGCTACATACTGACAATGGGTCGCCGTCTGTCAAGTCGTCGACAAAAGAAAGAGACGTTTCTCCGCAAACACTAGACCAATGGTGGTGACCACCTGCCCCGGAAATCTCACGGGCAAAATTGAACGTTGCCTCCAACCCTCCCGTGTCGAGTCCACCTCACTGGCCCCTCCAAGGCAGCATCCGGGCGACCGAAAAAGAGCGGGGGGGATGTGTCCAGTCCCATGCGCGACGACATTTGTCGAGTAATTATTGTGCAGTTACGAACACTCGAAACTCGTAAAGCACAGAGAACATGCGTGCGTCTTTTTCTTTTCGACGCAAATGCGAATTGCGACGTGCATCCGGCTTACGGAGAACATTCGTTTACGAGCTTTATTGCGCCCTCTTCTTTCTCATTTCGTTAACGTTGTCCATCCTAAAATGAATCTTTCTCCTGGCCCGGTCATGCGACATTTACTTGCCTGGAAGTGAAAGCCTACTCAGAGGTAGCTACTATGTGTCCGTTCAACCGTGGTGGAAGGACATAGCATTGCGTATGGTTTCAGCACAAAGCGGTGCTGGGAGTGTAAGCGCCTAGCCCGACTGTATGAGAAGACTGTTTCCGCCCTATCGGGACCCGTTATACCGAAATGACGTCCTGTCCATTTCCAGCAGGACATCGAGGGCAATCACATGTCAGCTATGCCACTTAACACCCCAAGTTGTGCTCGAACATCCTCTTAGCTGAGGGTGTTCCTTCTCCAGTACGCCGTACACAGGTTTCTTTTCCCCCAAGTTTTGTTGCTGGCATAGAGAAGAATAAAAGCACGATCGCTGTATGCCATGAACCCTGCAATGCCAGGTACAGACCAGTCCACCTTCCGTATCCGTCCCACAGAGCTTTTACACTGCAGAAACGATACGCACGAAGCGTCGACCTACCAAGGATCTCCAAGTGTTGAGGGGCGCCTGTCCATACACACACGTACACACACATACGGAGCACGAGCAGCAAGACGGAAGTCGGATCAAATACGTACGACATGTACGGACGAACATGGCAACACTGGACAGCCACTGGCCAAAGAGCGAGAACAAGGGCGAACAGAGTACGAAGAAAAGACAAACGTAGTGAATGGGCTGAGAGACATGCAGGTCAGACAACTCCGCGGTGACACAGATAGCCCATTTCTCTCTCGCTCTCGTCAATCTCTCTACCTCTCGAGAGACGGTAAATCGAGTCAGCGGTCGACAGCTGCACGGACTCGCGGAGCAGGAGTCGGAGCATTGTAGGTGGAACCGACCCGGAGAGCTGGGGCCCAGCGAGTGGACAGTCGCTGAACGGCGTCATCATGCAGGCGCGATCTAAAGTAGACCTTTAGTAGAGGCGTGTGCAAATGCTCCATGCTCGAGGCAGGTGCCCTAGTCGAAGTTGCGAATAAGCGGGACAGTGGCAATGGCAAGAGCGGGGGACAAACCAGGCCAGGCCACACTGGCACTTGTCGCGGGCCGTTCTTTCCCTCGCAGCCAGTTGGTCTTGCTTGAAGTTGCGCTTCTCCTGCTTCTTTGGGATAAAAGTACTTCGCTCTTACCCGTACTATCGCATGGCTGAGTGGCCGTTCCTACCCTTTGAACCCAGATGACTGAACAGCTCGTAACGCATCCCTTTCTTCTCTCCCCCGTTTCTCGTGAAACTCGTCGTCTCCACCTTGACTCCTATATATCACCAAGTCGGAACCTGCACAAACACGTTCGTCGAGAGCCGCACTGCCCAGCAACAATCCCAAGCGCTTCGAGCCGCCATTCTGTGCATGTGCAGCGCCATTTTGGTTACGGTCAAGTCCACTTGGCACCTTACTTGTGCCCCTGGGGCTGGAAAACGGGATGCTCTCCAAGGTTAAGAGACGCAAAGTGCGCAACCGCACCAATATCTTGCAAGACCTCGCCCGCTCCATGGACCGTTTTTAATAGGTCGTCTCCAAATTTCATCAGCATTTGGGCACAAGGTGGGGGGCATTGAAAGAAGGAGTGTGGGCCGCCCATTCTTCGTTCGTCTCTCCAAATAGTGCCTTGTTTCTCCATAAAGATTCTAGGGTCAGGCTACTTTGGACCCGGCCGTCGCGGCGTCCTTTTCATTCTCCTTGACTACCGCCTGTCACTTTCCCAACTTCCTCTCGTCCGGATGACCACCTTTGGCATTCCACAAAGCTAGAGAGCATATGGAGTACAGCCCACATAAACTAGTACCCGAAGGCTCATCACACGGATCCGCCTGCCTTTCGGATCCTCAAGCACTCTCGCTCTCTCCTGCGACGCCACAATTGAGTCGCCAGCTGCGCTGAGAAGACTGCAGAGCCACCCAAGACGCTCTTGCCTGGTCTTTTGGCGGGATACACCAAAAAGACGAATAGGCGACCAGACGACGCAGTAACGAGATAACGAGAAGTACGCCTCTATCCATAGACTGGCGCATCGTTGTGTTTTGAAGAAACCGTCATTCGGTCCTGCTCGGGTTTCGACCGCCGGGTCTTTTGCGTCTTTTGCCTGCTTTGTTCTAGCGCAGGCCCTCGACTCTCGCGGCGGTAGACAGGAAACCCTGCTGAAATAACGAGCAGAGCAATCAGTATAGCCTTCGCACTTACATCAAGCATTTGCAATTTGCAGCACTGTTCGACGCATCTTGCGGCCTCCGCAGAGTACGGCACTTGCCTGTTTGTTCTTTCGGCCCACTCACCCCCTGGCAGCGATTCCCACGTATCCCCGGATGCAGTACGGAATATGACCCCGGCTTAGTCTTAGTGTTATCACCGTCGCCACTTCAGAAAAGCCAGGACCAGTCGTTTTTACCTGACCCTGCCCAGCTTGAAAGTCTCCCGTCTGCAATCGGTGGTCTCTTTTCTGGGGCTAAAGGCCACACAGGATCACGGCCGAAACGGACAACAGGCAATAGGCGCGGCTCCTGTCATCAGGCAAAAGACGACACAAATCGCCTACGGCCTAAGACAGAGGTCCCAAAATAAGCACGGTCGGGAGGCATCCCCCCATGGAGCGTGCTGTCAACCTCCTCACGTTATCAAGAACTGCTCACGCGCCACCTACCCCGGGCCTCTCCACGCCACTCCAGCCCGATTTCTAGAAGTAAGTTTGCCTTCATTTTACAAAGTGCCACATACCCCAAAGTGTCAAATGAGAGTCCTTCCGGTTGCCCCTGCTGTTGAATTTCGTTTATTTTCACGATTCGTGTCATCAACTTCCCCGTTTCCCGTTTTCATCTTCCAGTATTTCTCGTTTCATTCTATGGTTCCGCATTTTTCCTCTACCATGTTTGCATTGTTCATATCTACAACACATACACGGTCTTGCCAAAACGTCGCCTCCCCTGCACCTTGTTTATTGGATTAGCTCGTATCTGACAACAAACCACCTGTTTCCACATTTCTTTACCTCTTTTCCCCTTCCATCTCATCCCCTTCGGTGCCTTGCGTCTATCTAGGAAAATTCTGTCATCTAGCTCGCCTGGACCGTACTTTTCGTTGACCTTGTTCCCGATTCTCCCCTTTTCTATTAGAGTTCCTCTTGTGTCCGACGCTTCTGCTTGGTCTGTAACCTCGCGTGCCTGGTGACGACATAAAAGCGCCGAGACCAAGCAACGTACCATTATCAAAAACCATTTGTCGTACATGCAAGCCATCATAACTTGTCCAGAACACCTTTGTCAGCTTTGTCGGCATCGTTAACTCTTATTGGTTGTTGTTCAGTTTCCACTGCCCTGCCCCTTGCCATCATCTGCCTTGGAGTCGTGCTTGCTCCGCACATAGTCCCCATCTCCCGCATGCTCACAACGCGACCATCCATCCAACTTGCAGCTTAACAACGTAGCAGGCCGCCCATCCCAACTACACATACTCTTCAATTTCCAGACTACGCCCAGGCCACAAACACAGCAACGGACGAAACAAACAACACAGCAGCCTCCACGGGGCACCGTCTACACCGGCCGCAGCCGCAGTTGCTGCCGCTGTACCACCAAGACCATCAGAAACGGCACCAACAGCACCGTCAGCCCCGCGTGTCTTTTCTCGCGGCTCTACCTGCACCTCCACCCTGTATTAGGTATGTGTTCTATGCTCTGTATATTCGTTGCCAATCCTGCTGTTCCTTGCTTCTCCCTTGTCTCTTTTTGATCCTCTCTTCCTTTCGCTACAATTTCTTCCTTTCTCTGCCGTTTTTATCATTGCTGCTCTGTTGCTGTCGTCAGTCTCCACTCCTCTTTCTCCGCCTTGCCTAGTTAAAGAATACAAACGGCAGATCCAAGACAGAGTGTGAGGATGAAAAGGGATACCATGGAGCTACGTGACAAACACGTACACAAGCACCCATATTAGCTTCCTCCCTCTTCGGGCTTGCGGAAGTGGTGTTTCGGGCAAGGTATTGCAAGTCGCGGTTCCAGCGCCGCCCCAGTCAAGCATCCATCTTGTTTTCGCGCACGTGGGGCTACTTTACACTATCGGAGATCCTGCCACTCAAAGATATGGACACAACAAAGACAAGGCACTTTTGATGTTTTTTTGTGAGTATAATGGCGAGCAAATCAAGCGTTACAACAATCGCTGGGGAAAACATCAAGTGAGGTCTCCTTGGTTGGCAAAGGCCCAAGAATGATGTTTCCAAAAAAAGGCGTGGTGGAAGTGACGACCCTATCTCCAATAAACTATCCAGATTCACCATCAGACCTCATTAGGCAGACGTGCCATGTGCAGTGGTCAGGAGTCCTCAGTCCACGCATGCTAGCAGCTGCTTCTCATTACTTTGTTCCTCTTATTTTACTTTTCGATTTTTTGTTCTCTCTTTTTCCTTTTTTTTTCTTTTTCGGTTCTCTTTCTATCACCGCACTCCTCTCCCCATAATTGTCTTTATTTCTATCACCATTGCCGAGTTATTTGTGCCATTCCTCGAAAGCCGGCTGGCGAATACAAACACTGGATTTGACTGCAAGGGAGCCAAAAGGGTGGAACCTCCACCATTGGTATGGCATAACCATCTATATCCACGGCCGACATTGGACTTCCTCTCTTCCGTGCGCGTTCCTCCGAGCTTTGTCAAGGCCTTCGAGGTCGCTCGTTTGAGCCGTTGCTGCCGCCTCGCCTTTGTTGCCTTAGCCCGCACTCCCTAGCCCTTTTTGAGTTGCACATTCATATTGTTACCTTTATTTCCATGCCCTTCCCTAGTTCTTCCATTCCTATTCTTTCAGCTTAGGTTTGGTCTCTCCCAGGCACCCCGCGCCTTCCTCTCCCGTTGGCCCTTTTCTTCCCTTGCCTATCTACTTCTTAAGTCAGAAGTTATCCTATTCTCCGCCTTTTCGGCCTCTCGCCTTCTTATGTCGTGGCTGTTATATTGAATGCCCGGCCCGCCGACTTGTTTCGTGCTTGGCCCTTCGTCCTTGTCGTTACACTCCTGTCCCGTTATTTTATTCACAAGATTTAAGGTTTCTTGGGCCGCTCCTCTGCATGTCCTTCGTTCCTATCCATCCCTCACACTTGTGTGTAGTATTTTCTTCTTATATCGGACTCGATTGACAACACCTTTCCATCATCACTGGTCTTCATCTGTTTTCGACCTCTATCTCATTGTCTTTTTCCTCTCGCTGTCTCCTTTTCACGTCACTTGATTTCTTTTCTCTATTATATTCTGTCTAAACACCTTTCGGTTTCGCACTCGAGATACCTCAGAGTCTGTCTTACTTCATTATACAACCGTTCCACTATGAGATCAGTGGCATAGGTCTCCGTCAAGTGGGATGCCATCTTATTTTCTTCAAGATTGCCACTACTTCTACCGCACAGCCCTGCGCGGCCTGAACATTGCCACCAGTGTCTCGCCTCTATACGCTTAGACGCATATACACAGCAACATAAGGATCACAGCCTTCCGTCTTTTTATTTGTATAGAAGAAAAAAATGACAAAACTGACCGCCATGCCGACCCAAGTCCGCACTTTCACTCTTCCCAAACCTTTCGGCGAGACGCTCTCTGCCTTTCCTCCTGTGGCAAATATCCCCACGCCCACTGAACGGCCGGCCTCAATACCTAGATCCGTACCAGCCGTTCCAGACGTCCACCCTCCTCTCAACGGAGGTGGAGGAGGCGGCAGCACTCTTCCGAGGATCAAGCCGAGTTCTAAGCCAAGCCCAATGGCCAGCTACAACCAACAGCCGTCCGCCAACGGTGGCGGCATCACGTTTGCACACCAGGACAAGCTTCCGAAGCTGCCTATCCCAGAACTCGAGAAGACATGCCAAAAATATTTATCCGTTCTGCGGCCGCTGCAGACTTCCCGCGAACACGCCGAGACCCGACATGCTGTGGACGAATTTCTCCGGAATGAAGGCCCCGAGCTGCAAGAAAAGCTGAAATCGTACGCCGAGGGACGTACAAGCTACATTGAGCAATTTTGTGGGTTACTATTGAAACTGAAAACAAAGGACGAGGGGTTGTTTGTTCATTCTTAAAATCTCGCTAACCTTGCCAGGGTATGATTCGTACCTCAACTTTGACAACCCGGTCGTATTGAACCTCAACCCCTTCTTCTTGTTGGAAGACGACCCTACGCCGGCTCGCAACAATCAGGTGACGCGCGCGGCATCCCTTGTCGTGTCAGCACTCATGTTTGTCCGTGCTGTCCGTAAGGAGGAGCTGCCACCCGACACCGTCCGCGGCACACCATTGGATATGTACCAGTACTCGCGCCTCTTTGGCACAGCCCGCGTCCCTACAGAAAATGGCTGCCAGATTGAGCAAGACCCCGATTCGAAGCACGTCGTAGTCATGTGCCACGGCCAATTCTACTGGTTTGACGTACTAGACGAGAATTCTGATCTGATTATGACCGAGCGTGACCTTGCCATCAACCTCCAGACGGTCATCGACGACGCCACGCAGACCCCGATCCAGGACGCTGCGAAGGGTGCTCTGGGAGTTCTAAGCACGGAGAATCGCAAGGTGTGGTCGGGACTGCGCGATGTGCTGACCCGCGAGGAGGGCTCCAACAATGCTGACTGCCTTGGAATTGTTGATTCGGCCCTGTTTGTCGTCTGTCTTGACTATACTGAGCCGGGCTCGGCTGCCGCCCTCTGCCAGAATATGCTCTGCGGCACCAGCGAGATCGAAAAGGGCGTCCAGATCGGAACCTGCACAAACCGCTGGTACGACAAGCTTCAGATTATCGTGTGCAAGAACGGCAGTGCAGGCATCAACTTTGAGCACACGGGCGTCGACGGCCACACGGTCCTTCGGTTTGCCAGTGACGTTTACACGGATACGATTTTGCGCTTCGCTCGCTCGATCAACGGGCAGGCGCCCTCGCTGTGGAAGTCGACGAGCCCGGACCCATCCAAGCGCGATCCCGAAAGCTTTGGTGACGTGGACGCCACGCCGCACAAGCTCGAATGGGATATGATCCCCGAGCTCAGTATCGCGGTTCGCTTTGCAGAGTCTCGCCTTGCGGACCTCATCGGCCAGAACGAATTCGAGTGCCTCGACTTCAGTGCGTACGGCAAGAACTTTATGACCAGCATGGGTTTCTCACCGGACGCCTTTGTCCAGATGGCCTTCCAGGCCGCGTACTATGGGCTTTATGGCCGCGTGGAGTGCACGTACGAGCCGGCCATGACCAAGGTGTTCTTGCACGGTCGCACAGAGGCTATCCGCAGTGTATCTGAAGAGTCTGTCAGCTTTGTGCAGACGTTTTGGGCAGACAACCAGGCCGAAAACAAGGTCGAAGCCCTGCGCCGTGCCTGCCAGCGCCACACAACCACCACCCGCGAATGTGCCAAGGCAGAAGGCTGCGATCGTCACCTGTATGCTCTCTACAGCCTATGGCAACGCCTTGCCGACGACGAACTGAGCAGCACAACTACGGGTATGGATAGCACGGGATATGGCAGCCCGTACGGGTCCGACCGTGGCATTAGTCCGCCTCCGCAGGTTAACGGTCCTGGCACTGACGGCGATAAGTCGACCACGAGGACGCGCGGTGACAGTAACTCGTCTCGCCAGAACAACCAGCAGCACCTGCCGTCGATCTTCTTGGACGCCGGCTGGGAGCGATTGAACAGCACGATCCTGTCGACTTCGAACTGCGGCAACCCGGCGCTGCGCCAATTTGGCTTTGGCCCCGTGTCTGCTGACGGCTTTGGTATCGGCTACATTATCAAGGACGACGGAATCAGCATTTGTGTGTCGAGCAAGCACCGCCAGACCAAGCGGTTCATCGACACTCTGGAAAGCTACCTGCTCGAGATCCGGCGCGTCCTGCGCATCACGAGCCGTCGCTCAGGATCGCAGTCCAAACAGCAGTCACGCGCCCGTGAGATCGACCATTTGCGTCCCCGCCCGGCCAACCGGATCAAGTCCCGTGGCCGTCTGATCACGGGTGGCGAGATGATTAGGACGACCAAGGCAGGTGGCTCCGAATCACCCACAACCGACAGCGTGACTATGAGCGAAGACGACGAGCTCGGTGGATGTAAGTTTTAAGTTTATGGGTTTTTAATTTTTGTTTTTCTCAACCTCCTCATGCAATCCATCCATTACTAACTCCTTGCAGATGGCTTCTTCGATGCTGGTATGCTGCTGCAGGCACTCAAGGCTCGCAACGAGAGCCTCGACACAGGCGAGCCCAAGCCATCCGAG